CGGCCCCATCGACGCCGCCGACGGCGAGATTTTCTCGAGGCTACAGAACAAAATCTCCAAAAGGCCACCGACGGCGCCATCGAGGCCGCCGACGACGGGATTGAAGGTTATGTGTACTTGTACAATGGATAAGGTCGGATTTTGGAGGGGTGCATAAGTAACTCTTGGGAAAACTCATCCACATCTTTAAAGAGAAGGTTTTGGCTGAAATAGGGAGTCCTAGAGGTTAGATAGGTTCCATTAGTGTGTAGATAGCTTGCTAGAGCGTATAATTGTGAGGAATTCTTCGAGAAATTGTAAGAGTGGAGGGAAAGTGAGAGATTTCTTCCTCCTAGCTACTTCAAAGAGGAATTCTGAGTATTGTAAAGAAATAAAGAGATTCAGAGGAACTTCAAGGAGTATTCTTGGGGAGAAAGTTAGAGATAAGTTATTTACTTATTATAGTTTGTATGGCTTTGATTTTATATATGAATTCCGAGTTTTGTTGTGTTTTCCCCATGAGTTCTGAGTAGTTTTCTCTGTCTTTTTCCTTGTCTCAAGATTTCTGAAATGGTGATTTGAATTGGTGAAGCCATGAAAATGTTTAAGATATTGTGATGATCTTTTAACTTCAATCTTAATTCACTTTCAATCTGGCCAATTGATTTGTTAAAATATGTTGAGTTTTACAACTAAAGTGAAGATTACATCCAAGATTCAGGCAGGTCAAAGGCCTTGGAAGTTGGGTGCAAATAAATAGGAAAATATTACTATCGGCGTAGAATTGGAGATTTTAGAGTGACAGACTAAAATCCCCAATTCGGTTCTATCGTTTGGGTGCTGTTGTGTAGATGTTAGCCCTCAGGTGAGGGGAACGTGGGAGCTCCAAAGTGAGAGCTGGTATCCTCCTAGCCTAGCCCCAGAATCAGTAACCAAGTATAAAATTAGTCAATGTTCTTTATGCCTGGACCAAAGGGTAAAAAATAGGAATGCTCCTATTTGGTACAATATAAATTGAACTAATTCATTTTATCCATTCACTATAATTTCTTGACAAGGAGAAGGATGCTTTCTTATATATTGAATATCACAAAATTAAACCCTACTTTCTATCTTTAGTTATTTATTAGTTATCCAAATTATCTACTTATTTCAATTGCCTATTAGTGACAGATAAGCAAATTGAACGCCGTCGTTGTAGTTGAAGTATTACTTTTTTTTAAGCCTTAGTCCGTAGCATTCTATTTCTCCCTGTGGGATCGATAATTAGGACTCCATTAGAGCCCTATATTACTTGAGCGATACATATACTTGCGTTAACAAATTCAACTTTAACATTATTGAATATTATCCCTATACATCTTTATTAAAACATATATAAAGTCGCAGTCAAGATATTTGACACCGTTGATGGAATTTAAATCTTCTAATAGCATCATCAAATTCTTGTAATTGTCGATTTACAAAAATAAAAAGGTCGGTCAGAAATCTACCAACATTGATCCTTAACCTCACCATAGGTCTCCAAACCCTAAGAAAAACTAGATCAAAACCCTAATGTGTCCCTTTTGACCTCCAAATTTGGTGACACCTTAGATAGGTCATAACAATGATGACAAACCCCAATTTCAACCAAAACTGACTAAATTGACAATTATACCTCAATTGGACCTCACATGACCTTGTTGCCTACCAAAGCACCATATTGTCAACTCATTGACCATTTGGTCTACCTAAGGACTATATGGTCAACTTAGTACCATATGATCAAGCCTGTCTAAATGAATCCACATGGTCAATCCTTTGGTCATGTGATTAACTCAACAAACATGGGATTAATTTTCATACATTTATTTTTTAATAATAAATAAAAAATAAATTAATTGTTAGGAAGGAATGTCATGAAGGACTTAGCACAAGCCTAACTCTAAGGACATCTAAGACAATTCATGACGCAAAACCCATTCTTAAAGAGTTACCCATGATTCAAAGACTATCCATCATGACAAGGTTTCTATTTTTTGTTTAATTACTTAGTACCATATTTAGTGAACTTATTTTGCTAAGTTGAGTTTGTTTAATTGTTTTGTGATCATTTAAATTACATTATTAGTTTAATTTGCTTTGTTTCATGAAGTCTTTTATTGATCTATTATGCTTTGTGAGTAGTGGCATGTGCTTTTATTTTTTGATGATTTAGTAGTAAATGTAGGGTGTTAAAGTTTGAGAATAAATCTTAATTTTATATGTGATGAATGTTC